TATTATACCTTTCCTATATCATAGTAATAGCTGGATAGAAAAATATTTCTCAAGTGCTTTGAACACTGGAGAAATCAAGATCAAAAAGAAGCATTTATTTTATAAAAGGGCATTTTCATGTACTTGTGCCTCCTTTTATAAAACATGGGCGGACAAACTAAAATGAAGACTCTGAGATGTGAGCTTTGGTGCCAACGCTGGACTGCACTGCAGAAACCTGCCAGCATTATCACCTGAATATATTTATGCCTCCACGAACCCCTCCTTATGATCCCATGTTGCCCGTCTTGTCCAAATCAGTCATTCTGAGAGGCTTTATAATGTCCCCCAGGCTTCACTTCAGGAAATTTGCTTCTGTTTTTCATGCTTTAGGTATACCTTCTCTCCAAAATTGAGTAAGAAATTATCAAAAGAAAGAAAATCAAACTTTTCATCAAAAATATGGCTAATACATCATCCATTAGGCAAAGCCTCAGAGTGGTAAATTTAGACAGTGAAGAAAATATTATCTTTGGTCTTCTGAAAGGACCCACTCAATTTGATCTCAAATGTATGGTTTTGTCTTGCTTACAGATGAGTTAGATCTGGACCTCAGGCTCATGGGGGGAAAAAGTCCCTGTTATGGGAGATTGGAGGTGAAATACCTCGGAGAGTGGGGGACTGTGTGTCATGACCTATGGAGCATAAAGAATGCAGCTATTGTGTGTAAAAAATTGGGATGTGGAAATCCTGTCCACATATTTGGCATGACCCTGCCTAAGGGAGCAATAGGACCTATTTGGCTGGATGATGTTTCTTGCATTGGAAATGAGTCAAACATCTGGGACTGCAAACACCGTGGATGGGGAAAGCATAACTGTTTACACACGGAGGATGTGATTGTGAGCTGCTCAGGTAAGACTTGTTCTTGTTTATTCTTTCCTGAAAAGAGAAATAGTATTCCTAATAGGGTCTATAAATTGGCTCGAGTCTAGAAATTTACTGAGGAGTCACAACTCTCTGTTTTTAGATTAGACTTCTGTTCACTTCACCTACAACTCTTCCACATATAGAGATCAAGTAAGAATTGAGTAGACGGTCCACCTGTTTCACTTCTAGGGATACCACAATCAACTAGCAAACACCACAAGTCTGTGTTGTCAGACTATTCTGATTTCTGCTCTGACTGCTGTCCATTGGTTACAGTGACCATGCTCACTTTTTATTTGGTGATTAAGTGCCACCATTTGTGCTCTGCCACACTGGCATCCAATTATTCCCATTGCATCCAAGGATCCTGAGTCAGTGGCAGCAGTTCCCACCGTAATTCCTGTCCTATAGAGAAGAGCTAGCACAGAGCTCTTTAAGGATGCTGGGGCTCCCCTAATAAATTTATTTCTCACAGTTGTGGTGAACAGTGTGTCCTCTGGACCCTCCTGGGTGGGTAAGCAGGTCTTACGGGGCGAATCCACTGTAACATTCCAATTTCCCTGACCCCATTGGATCCCCTGCACTACCATATACAGAGGCAGTTCTGGCATTTCATATTTAGTGTAGGCCACCTTTTGGTCCACGTTTCAGCCAACCAATCAAACAAACTGTTAGAGCCCTTTCTAACCCCCAGCTGCATCATTAAATCCAGAATCTCTGTTTAGTGTGCCCATATCAATAAATTCAACTTTATGCTCCTTTCATGGTTATGTCACACCCTTGGTATTCATTCCCACACATATCCCCTAGATTTCTGTCTGTATAAAACAGAAAAATTATGTTCTTTTGTGTGCACCTCCATTTGAGACACTTTGTACCTCACCTTTCGAGGCCTGGTGAGACTTGAATCTAGTTGTAAAGAGGAGTGGGAGCTAAGGAGAATCAGGAGAATCTTTCAAGGCAATTACCTCAGGGGAGGTTGTTACAGTTTCTTCAAGCAAAGTAGGGTTAATATCCTCAGACTGGGGTGGATGGCTGCCTCTACTATCAAAGAAGAAACAATAGAGTTTAGGTTTTCAATGGTCCCAGCCCCATCAGATCTTCCCATATGTCCCCAATCCAATTTTCATTATTCTATTTCTTCCTAATCAATGCCTCGCTTTGACAGTAGACACCCTGGGAGGTTGGAAATTCAATTTGCATTGTCGTTCAGTTCCTTGCCAGATTGAGGCTAGGGTTTAATTTTCAGTGATTTCAGTTCTGTGGTTACAGAAGATACCAGTTTCTTTCACGAAAGACATAGAAACTTTCAGGTCGTATGGCACTTGAGCTGGGAATTTGAATCTCTGAGCTCATCCTTTTCTTTCCTCACTTTGTCCAGTGCAATTGGGATCAATCCTCCCCTCTTATTATGCTTGTTAGTTTGGCAAAAAAAGGTTTTTTCCTAAGGTTTCAAATATGTGCTCACCCAAAACCTTGCCTCTTATAAGTACTTGATTAGGAGTATCCAGTGGTGATATTGTGTATATCTCTATTGCCATATCCTGCCATGGACTGTAAGTGTTCTCACTACTACTTGATGTAGAATCATTAGTGCCCTTAAATTTTATCAGATTAGCCAACCAATTCTAGAAACCCCACAATCAATTCAGAAAATTCATCCTTAAGGTTTTGTTCCTCTGGAACCACTATTGATACCAAAATCTGTATTAGTCAGGGTTCTCTAGGGAAACAAAACCAATAGAATGTGTGTGTGTGCGTGTATGTGTGTGTGTATCTATATGTATCTATCTACACCTATATCTATATCAATATATATACACACATATAGTATATATGTATATGTGTGTGAATGTGTGTGTGTGTGTATGTGTCTATAGAAAGAGAGTGAGAGAGAAATTTATTTTAAGGAATCAGTTCATCAATTGTGAGGTCTCACAAGTCCAAAATCTGCAAGGTAGGTTAGCAGACTTTGGAAAAGTGTTGATGTTGTAGTCTTGAATCTGAAGATAGTCTGTAGTCTCAGTCTTAAACTGATTGAATGAGGCCCACCTACAATAGGGAGGATAATCTGCTATACTCAAAGTCTACTGATTTAAATGTTAATCACATCTTTAAAAAAAAGGGGCCGGCGGCGGTGGCTCACACTTGTAATCCTAGCACTCTGGGAG